AATATTTTCTACTCTTTTTTAAAATTCAGTATCAACATGATTATTCATGCTCAGGTCAATGAATTATGTAGGCGACGAAGTATAAAGCGAATTTACGTGATTGTTTATTCGTAAATACACAATATTAACCGTACGGGTATCTTGCTAAAAGTTTTGATAAGAAAATCTCTTTTGATGTTCCAAGACTTGGTTAATGGAACAGTTGAGTGATTTCCACGACTATGTTTTTGATGGAAACACGAGCGGACGGACATATGAAGCAGACATATAGATGTCACCCAGAAGACAAACAAAGGAATAGTATTAGTTTTTCAAGTGACGAAAAATTAATAATAGTGTAAAATTACAATTCTGCGTCGTATCACTCTTGTTTGCTTCAGCACAACCCTCGCGATGTATTCTAACCACCGTGATAACCCTTGTGTTGTCGTACTTGAAGATAAAAATCTTAACGGGAGACTAATTATTAATTACAATGTTGAGGTAAATCTGTGGCGTCCAGCGAGTTTTGAACCCTGCAATATTTCTGCACGTTACCAGGTTAAAAAGCGCACATCTAGTATAAACATGCATACTGCACTGCTCGACGGCCATGCATTACTAAATATTGTCTGTATGCACATATCGGCTAGCATGCAACCGATATGCATGTTTACGCAGAATTAATAATAATAATAACAAAACTTGTACCTTTAATCCTGTCATTCAATTCTATCTCGCCCGTTTATCATTATTTAAATGACCCGACCTTTTACGCATCGATAAAATCTTACTGGGGAATGTAGTACTCTGGCGGATTGCGCGCCTTTTTCCAGAGGCAAATTATCGCACGCCCAAAACGGTATACAAATCTATTTATTAATCTGTTACTCAGTATTTCACATCTTGCGCGACTAATTTTTTTTGGCAAGGTAAATCTCACCCCATATAATATCTCAAGTAACAGATTAGTGTCGAATGACAATAAGCGGATTAACATTAAGGTGATTCAAAATACAGAGATTCGCATTATTACAAATAGAATTTCGTTTTCACAGGTGCACGCTCGTTGGTAGAATGGAATGTAACCATTTAACTTTGTCCACAGGCCTTTTTTTATTTTTACGTTATTCGTAGCTCTCAAAAAAAAATTTTCCAAACTCAAAACGTGTATTGCCCCCGAAAAGGGTACTGTCATTGGTTTTATTAAAAATAGTGAAACAAACAACTTTCCAACATTTTGCACCAATAGAAATTAACAATTGAGGGGGGTGACAGAGGACAGTCTCGTGTCTCTCTCAACCTTTAGGCAGTTGTCCCAAAAGTTGAAAAGAATGGATAACAAGCATCAATCAAGGGAATGCTTATTCATTCTGATGATATTTTCTCCGAGAATGGTTATTTACCATACGATTTTGATAAAATTAAACTGTTACACGATAATAAAATGCTCTATACAAAGAATAACACCGAACAAATAGCAATTTATTATTTTTAGATTACCATTTGCTGATTCTACCATTTCCAGTTCATTGGTGTTATCCGCTATATTGTCTATTGTCCTGGTTCCTTATTCTTAATATTAAGAGAGAGAGAAAGAGAAAGAGAAAGAGAAGGGGTTTCAGATGGTGCTGAGCCTGTTCTGGATTCGACAGCTGTACTAACACAATTAGACTTTTGAGTTATGCTCTGTATTAATATCAAGCTTTCATCGTATTCCAGGATATATTGTTGATTGAAAGATTATTCGTTGAATATATTAATATTAATTCAGTAGACAGTTTAGCATTAAATTATACGTATTAGTGTGTGGCAATAACCCGTGCTAATAATCAAAATTCTAATCCTCCCAAAAAATATACATTGGAAAACCCGCATACATAATTCGCAAGTCTTAATAATGGAAAGGCCAATCGACATCACAAATAATAAACAGACAGCAAAAATTTTGTTTAAATTGCTTTATAAATGCCAAATTATACAATTGGTGACTGATGATTTCAATGCATATATAAAAAACTGGGAAGGAGATCTTGAATTCCTTCTATTAGAGATAAGTTAGGTGTTTGCTGACAGTAGATTTCTCCCTGAATCCAAAGTAAATAAAAAACAAGAAAAGGGTGGGAAAATGTATATAATTACAAAAAGAATTGGGCGGATGAAGAGTATATTTGTTAAGGGAAAAAAAGGTTTCTACACGAAAAAGAAAAGGGGAAATTTGAAAATCAAGAGCATTAATGAAAGGAAAGAATCGAGGTCAACTACGAAAGTCTGCGTTGTAAATTCACGACATGCTAAGTTGTAATCATTTTAAAGAACTATTCGTAAATCTAAAAAAAATAAAAATAAAAGACCCCACAGAGCATGCAAGCAAAGAAAAAGAATTTATTGTACAAAGAAGAGTGCAACTGCAAATATTACGCCACTAAATAATTCTCAGTCAATAAACTATTCACCCTTTGCATATCAAATTTTACACTCGTTTACTCATCATCAGACCACAAATCGCTGAATTTTGTCACAGTAACAGGAGGCGAAGCCCTTGTCGGTGAAAATATACTATCAAGCGTCTGCTTGCTAAACATCTCGGCAGCCACATTTCCACCAACCATCACCCCTGTAACGTTGCTTACATCCCCATTTTGATAACTAAACCCAAACATCGGATCTTGTCCAAATTGCGGAAAATCCATTACCATCGGAGTGCTATTCTGAGGAAAACTAGGACTTAGAGGCGTTGTAGCCGTCCGATTCGGAGATTTTGCACTAAGCGACGAAGAGCTCTGCTTGTTCGACAATGGCGGTGGACGTGATGATCGTCGCGACCGACCCGTTGACGGGGTACTTGGCGACAGCGTCGATGCGGTCGATGGAGTCACTGGCGACGGTGTCGCTGGTGACGGAGTCGTCGGTGTCGATAGCGACGTCGCAGTTATTACATGGAATCGACCTGAATCACCCTTGATTGTTGTTTGCTGACCTACGTTCGGAGAGAACGGCTGTAACGATTCGGATGAAATTATCAGCGGAGTACGTGGGGGAGAATCAACTATAATAGAGTTGGGTCTGCTCAAACTATTACTCCTCCGATGGCCCTTGAGTAAAAGATCGCTTTCGATGCTCGAATTGCGGGAATGACTTTTGCGCGACTCTGAAGGCTGCGGTGCAGCAGTGTTATTGAGTTTTAAAGTTTTCTCAAAATCGACCAGTTGATAGACTAGACTCATGTTGGGGCTGATATATGGACTCCGATCTTTGACAAATTCGTAGGCTTGGTTAAGTGTCATACGATTAGTCTTCATGACATAAGCAATGACTAGTGACGCTGAACGTGACACTCCACACTGACAGTGGACAAGTATATTGCGTCCGGCTGAGCGTGCCTCGTCAATGTATGCAAACGCGTGTTCAAAGTCAGAAATCAAGTTGTCTTGATTATGAGTCCAAAAGTATTTCTTATACTTCATCGCCTTGAATTCATCTGTGGCTGGAACTGTCAGCGGAACGCCTGATCCCATTGGACCGTCTGGTGATTGCAAGTTTGCTGAGAGTGAGCTTGGTCGCGATGGTGATTGTTTGATTAACGAGTTTGATCTGTTACATGACGCATCACTCGGTAGTGGAGAGCTGGCGTGTATTGCGGGTGCTATCGGAGACGTGACTGCAGTTCGATAGCTCGAATCTGATGATATAGAGGAAGAAGACGATAATCCGGGTGATATTGACTGGCACTGGAGATATTGCGAGTTCTTCTGATTATTTATAATGTCCATCATATAGGGATTTGGTACTTCCATCGCAACATTAAGAATGTATTCGACATTGAGTCTGTTGAGCATTTCGCGATTTGCTGCGTTCAATTCAGAGCCTAAGTAAAAATGAGGTAATATACAGATCGGCTCGTCCTTGTATGGCAGTTCTTCAGCGATTGCATTCTCAGTTCTAGAAATCAATACCATGGGATCAGCAGACGGGTTAGAATGCGATTCACCGGTTTTATTCTGATAGATGCAAATTGGAGTCGACGGACGTCTGTTGTGACCGTGAGCCGCTTGTTTCGTCTGTTGAGGAAGTTGAGGAGAACTCGGAGCGGAGATGGAAGAGCGAACGGGAGGCACAACTAATTGCAAGTTCTTCATCTGTCTTCTTCCTCTGATTCCCGGAGAAACGGGAGGTTTCTTGAATGTGTCAAGTGACTGATTATTATATGCCGAATTAACATCCAATAAAGATACGGGAGATGCTGGTCTTGTTACAATTTTGGTATTAGGCATTTTAAAACTACTTAGTGCTGTGTTTGGCGTATTGTTTATGTTGGACGAAGCCAAAGACATCTTCTTATACAATGGAACGTCAGACGCAGTGAAGTAGGGTTCCTCGATGACTGATGCTAACATTGAAGTAGCTGTCGGTGAATCGAAGGGATATAATCTTTTCTGATTGCTATTCATGTAAAGATAGTGAGAAGTGAGCACACCAGGTGCGTAGCCCTTATATTTTCTGGAATAAGGAAATATCTATGATATGTTTTCAGATGATATTGATTAGCGCTATTATTGAAGAAGTATGATGGCCGTTATCATTGAAGTGAATGGGACAGCTTTCTTATCAAATAAAGTAGTGTTGAGAGAGAAGGTAGGGGAGAGAAAAAAGTGGAGAGTTTTGTCGTTAGAACGGAGAGGGAGAGAAGAGGGAGCGTTGCAGTTCTTGATAGTTGATCAGACCAGCTGTACCAAAGCGCTTCTGTGTGTAAGATAAAGTAGTCTCAGAACAAAAAGTGCTAAAGTTTTCTAACACATCCAAACGTTTGCTAGTGAGACGCACCAGATGAGAGAAGGGAAGGTGCAAAGATTCTTGCTCTGGGAGGGAGACCCGCAATATAAAAGCGGAGAAAGATATATGAAACGTTAGCAAGGAAAAGATTCTTAATACGAAATAACCGACTTATGAGACAAAGGGGGTTGCAGTGGGATAGGTGTGTGATATTTGTGTGAATATTCTTGTGGAAATTGTGTAGCGATTTTGTATGCAGAACTAATCGACAAAGGATGGAAGAGGCACCATAATAATATATATAAGTAAAATAAATGTAGCAAGTGTGTGTAATGGAGATATTTTTAGCTAATATAAATAAATGATGAATATAATAAGAAAATATGTGTTACAAATTTTATCATTGTATTTAAATTGATTATGATTGTAACTGTATTTATATAGAATATGGTTTCACGCATATTTGTTATGTAATGAGTATAAATAGTAATCAACCAGTGAGAATTCTACTGAATTTATTGAAGTCTTGGGGAATGGGGGAAAGCGATATACGGAAGTATTAACTTAATGCTAATACTACTACCTTATACTTGGCACTTGATAATAGGCCAATTGTTTCCAAGCGATTATATAAAGATTAGATTGTATAGATCGCACATGCATCGTCACTATTTCTGTAAAGCAGTATACAAGTTATACTAATTTGACTTTTTTACACACGCAACCCACACCCATACATAACACACGCAACCCACATTAACACCCATACATACCATCCATACCATCTAGATAACATCTACATAACATCTACATAACATCCACATAACATCCACATTACACCCTCATTACGCTCCCATTACACCCCATTACACCCACATAGCACCGACATAACATCACAACACCCACAATACACACAATACACACAATACACACAATACACATAATACACATAGCACCCGCAACACCCACAACACTCAACACACACACACACACATAACACACTATCCTTTCCCCCTGCTCCGCCCACATTTCGACCTACTACCGGAATACAAGCAAGTACACGTCTATCTCATCATATGAAATGCACAATACGGTCATATAAACTTACTTTGGGCAAAAAATAAACAATATCGAACGGAAATAGCCGTTTTCAATTCATATGTTAACCCGCATTCTGATACTCTTTGATGGATTGTCTGTTGGACATTTACGGTAATTATGAATTTCAGGACAGTTTCAAGTTTCAGCTAATGGTTTAGAGAAAAGAATTTCTGTTTAAAAACCAATCAATAAGGCAGCCACGTGTCACGCACTGTCGGGGTACACAACATCTTAGCGGCGCCGGCTAAGCAACGCACATTATAAGAAAAAAGGCTATTTAGAATCCCCCCCAAATCACCGATTTTGCTTAACATATTCGATTCGCCCATTTAGCGCCACGAGGCAAGCGCCACAACAGACAATATTCTCCGCATAATAACCCAATTTTTGTCTAGTTATTCTTGGTCAAATCATCTGTTTTCTATCTAAATATCTATATTGATATATGAAAATCTATTAAAAATAACATCTGCATCTAAAAAAAAGCCCTGTGTAGCAGAATATGCCCACAAGGTAGAAGAATAAACGTCATAAATGTCATGGTGCTAATACTAAAAACAAATAAGAAATTTTGTTGGCGATACATTAAATCTCCTTGGCACTCACTTTTCAATTAATTAATGATGAAATTTTTTAGTTTGGGGATCCCCGTTGGCTTACGATTTAGCGTTTATTTTTAGTAACAGTTCCACCAATCACTCTTGACAGTCCCCATTTACATTGACAATCTTACTTTTCGGTAAAAATATTAGATGGAGGCCAAACTGTCAATTCAAACATTTCCTCCGGTATACAGGCCACACAAAATTGAATGTCACATCTGGCCCACGTTTATGAAACGTCTGATCTGGGTAACATTTGAACGCTCCAGAACATTGTACAATTTCTTAATCGAGGTTTCAATTGGCCCTACAATAATGTCTGACTTGAACAAGACCATAACGATCGAAAAAAAAACAACATCGACAGATTTATTTCTAATTGATGCTAAACATGATAACGTTGTAACAGCAAGATGGTTACATAAACGTATTATTTCCATACGTGACATAATCTTCTCTTTAGTACCATATTAGTAGATTAAACGAATGTAACAGTAAAAATTTATAAAGTTCTTATTCTATGATTTAGTGCTTAATTTTTTAAATTTTAATATTTCGGGAATAATCTCGTTCTAGTTGATTTAGCCGATGTGCTGCTGACTAAATCATCTCGAAAATATACAGGTTATCCTCTTCCAGTTCAATTATACGGCGACTTGCCTGTTATGTGGAAATCGTTAAAACTATGACGACGAATTGGGATTGCTAAACTTATTTTGTCAGAGTATACCTTACTGTAATACTAACTATGCTTAACAACTTCTGACATATTCATTATATTACATAGACAAGTCTAACCTAAAAGGGAGAAAGGGCTTTTATATCAAAAAGAAAAAGATTAAAAAGAACGAAAGGGTATAAAGGAAACAACGTGATTTTACAATTAGTCTCTCATTTTGTAAAGCTGTCAGGTATTCGACCGAGATTGTATGTTGTTGCTGTTGTTGTTGTTTCATCTTTTAATAAAATAAGATATAAACGGAACTTTAAGCGTGAAATGTCAAAATAACAATTGTTGCACTTGGACATTTTAACATTTCGTTTCCATCAAAACGTCCAATATAGAGCTCGCCTCCGGATCAACTTTGCAGATGTCTCTGACAAGACGCATATGCTGCAAACCTTATCATCTCTGGTCAAATTAGTCACTTGGCCCAGCCCACTCGCATGCTTAATAATAAAAATATCTTGGTAACCTCGGTTATGCTTGAATACGCCCAACTTTCGGGCTCGGATCTTCATTCCTTGCATATTTATTACGCAATGTGCAACCTCAGAATCATGTTAACGTACAGCTTGCCGCGAGGCAAATCCGACAAAATACGTAAAACATCCAAACACTTTGCAAAGCATTGACCCATACTCCTATTAAATGTTACCAAGAAATAAACTTGATGTTCAAGAGTGGCATAGCAATCGTTGGTGATTTGTAACGTAACATGTTTAAAACAGGCAAGGGCTGACAAACTTTTGAGGGACATTTGATACAAATTTAAATTGGAAGAAAAAAATTTTTTTGACGTCATTAAACAGCCACGTTGGCAAAACTCTGATAGCTTTTAACGGGGCAAGTTTCGAACTTTTTCGTTTTAAATTTCCTTTAACGACGACAAGACTTGTCGATTAATTGGTAAATCTTAGTTGCGAAAATCCGTATTGGCGTTATTCACCACGCAAACAACACAAATTTAAGCAAGTTATATAAATTTACCAGTCTTTAACCTCATTACAATGTAGAATAAAGGGTTTACCTTCTACTTTTTAGCTAAAAAAATCCATTACTCCACAATATTCGACGTTCACTGGACCCAATCCTTGTTCTGTTGACTGAGCGTAAGTAAAAAAGAAAAAAAGGATGCGTTTTGGGCGTGCCGTGAAAAACATTTGACCTCATTCAGGTATCAGACTTGGAGATGTTATTTTTACTTTTATTTATTATTCCACTCTATAAAATAACTGGAAATGTACATGAACAAGGAAGAGTTGATAATGGCACAACTAAAAAAAAAAAGACAATAAAATGGATAATCATGATAATAATAAAGACGTTTATTTGTTTTTTTTTATGAGAAACATGATGTAAAGTAATCAAAAGGTCTTCATTTATCCACTACTTGTGTGGTAGAAAATGCTTTTATCTCATTGTCGACTTTCAGACAAGAATCTTGGAATGCGATTGCAATAACATATCCAAAGGACGCAAAGCGCTATATTTTTTCCCTAGGCGACGGACGTATTACTTTGCGAAGTAAACAGTTGATAACATATCAAAGTATAATATAGTAATTATATTTTGGTAACCTACCTTTTTGTGCATAGTATACAAGTTCACTGGTTTCCTTCAACTGAAAAAAAAAATTAATCCGAGCAAATGGTCTGGATGATAGCGTGCAACGGAGCTGCCATATTTTATGTTTGTATCGCTATACATGATATATCCATTTTGTTTCACTACTCGTAGCGCTATTACAACCGGAGAATTAATATATCTGTTTTTCTGTTTTATGTTATGAAAGGAAAAGATTTGATAGAGATAGCATAATAAAAAAAAGATAAATATAAAAAAGTTTAAATGTAGATTGGACGTTTTACCGCTTTTTAGATATCGATAAAAATTACGTAACAGGACAGCAACCCGCATGTTTAATAATATTTTCAAATTAAAAAAGAAACGGGTTTATAATTATAATCTGATAATCGTCCATAAACACGTCAAAAATGCTACAATTATATAACTTAATGGATGCTAAATAGTTTTTTTTTGTATGAGCACCAAGACGGTTTTATATTTTTTTTGCTTATATTTATGAAATCAACTTCGTTTATGCTCTCGCGCTTTTTTTCTGTTCCAGTAAGTAGTATTTGTTATATGTCATATGGAAATAATTACTAACAGAGTATTAGTAATAATATTGTAATCAATATTTATTAACTACGTTGTATGTCAGATAACATACTTCAATGACACTCGGCTATATGGCTAATTAATATACTGCTCAATGCTTAAACTTACACCCTTTGTGACAACCACTTTAACGAACTTTTTCCTACAGTATATAATTAATTACTATTATAATACATTTATAGATAACAAATTTCGATAATATTGTAGAGAGAACTCAAATAATATCCGCTATTGCATAGGAAGAAAACAAACATTGATGCTACTACGACACTAATGCATGATAAAAACCAAACAACCAAGCTTCCTGCTAATTTTCTAACATTCAAAAACCAAAATAAACCGCCAAAAGCTATCCACACGGCCAAAATACCTAATACTCCCATCACGTGTGAAGGACAACTTCACTAGTTCGTACACTTACATTAAGTTTACACATAGACGACGTGGTTTGAGATCGACAAGATATATACATGCAGTTGACCAACAGCATTGGCATTAAACGTGATGTATGTGACATATACAATTAAAACATCAGTCACTACATAAGTTAATTACAATTATGTACTATCTATATTAGAATAGTGTCTTCTATTGGTGCAATTAATCCGAGCGAGGAAGGAAAGAAAATAGGTGAAAGGTTTTTACCAATACAATTGTTTTTTAAAAACAAACGTAATTCAGCATTAACAGGAAAATATTCAAATAATAACCAACTCTAATAGATTAGACATTATTGGAATACGAAACACCCGTTAATAATATAGCTGTTGCTTCTACGATATTTGAAATTGGCTTATAATATGAAACTAAACGCTCATCTCTTGTACAGTTGGATAAATACCATAGTATTAATGTGAGACAGCTTGTCCAGGAACTTGACGCAGTGGTTAGACAAGATTGGAATATAATGCAATAATTCCGATCTGACATATCAAATATGTCCATTCCGAACGGACATAGATTCCGCTCTGACATACTAACACTGTACAAAGTATTATCCCGAAATTTAAAGGCAATATTGTCTCTCCATTGTTCCAGATATAAGAAAACTTTCACAAAAAAACGATCTAGTATTCTTGCGGTTCAGTTGTAAGAAGTAAATAAATGGCTAATGCAAAAATAAATAAATTTAAATTTCCATTATAGCGATATATTCATAAGTCTAAAAACCTAAAAGTATTTAAGCACATTAAATAGGCAAATCTATGGACCGGACCCTACACTCCTGAAGAATGGCAAGATGTCACGAATACGTATTGGAGAAACACCAGGTAAATGGGAAAGGACGAATTCGGAGCGTCTAACTTACTTTAGAGAAAATAATCTTCTACAAAACCAAAATTATTTTCAAGCTTGAAAACCGGTACAACAGCCAAACGGTACTTCTTACTCACCTACAATTAGAATTGCAATTTGTTTGTCGTGCAACCAACTAGTGTACAATTGTTCGAATGACCAAAATAATTATAATCACATTAGAATAGCAAAACACCGGAGTAACCATTGTATTGGAACTAACTAGTAAGAATTTGAACGACTTTGTTGAACTCAACCTACGTGCTCTTGTAGAAAAAGAGGGTTTCGAACGTCGTTCTTCGCAATGCAGTAATGGTAACGAACAAAAAGATGGAAAGTTGGAGAAGAGAAAGAAAATGAACTGAAGTTACTAAGAGAGCAACAAAGACAAATTTCTTTTTATCATGTTTACTTTATGTTGTATGTTATATATATATTTTTTTGTATTATATCAAAAATAAAAATAATATTAATGTTACGGCCCATTTTAAAGATGGGATAATTGCAAAAAAAAGTTTTTAATCACAGTAACACAGATCATATAGACGATAACTATAACAAAATGCTTTTGACTAATTAATACAACGATAAACAATAACAAATGTCTTTTACTATTATCAACGATTAATACAAGACGCATTGTTGCGGTGACAGTTTGGGCCACAAATATTATTCGCTCTATTCTGCATAATATTTATCAGTTTGATTAATTTATGACTTTCAGTATCTAAATTGCAATTAAGAATGAATTATACTCACCGACTTGATCGCGCTCATCATACTGCCGGATTCACTCAGGCCACATTTCAAAGATTTCAGACACACATCATGAGTTGCGGATCGTATGATTTACGATGCTGTATTTGCATACTCAATATACGACTCAAAGATCTGTCTTATGTCGTCGAACTTAACCTCCAGTTTATCATACGATCATTCTTCAAAATTTCAGGTAGGCCGTGAATTTGATTTATCAACGGTCAATCATGCGACTTAACAATTGTCGAACAGTTTATCATAACGACTTAACGACTGTCTTATGTCTTAATCTTACGATAGCCGAGAATTCGGTTTTTCCTAATCCAATCAAAATGTAGGAATTGGCGCTTAAGGAGTATCACATGTTTGTGTAAGTAAAATAAACAGGGCTGAGTTGGGCTAGACGCGACTCTTCTTTTATTACTATTTACTAAATCATAAAACGTCTGGACATGGACCTACTGGAAAAATGGGAATTTGCTGTTAAATTCGTTCAAGACAACCCAAAAGCAACTAAGGAGGAGGTTGGTAAAGCATATGAAGGATATAAAGACTTTTTCTATAAATACCATCAAGAAACCCCGCAGCAACAGCGTATTGCTACACGCGATACCTCCAAACACTTGGTAAGACACGTTTACTGGGAGAGGAGCAACGGAGAGAAGAGTTTGAATAGCTGTTACTGGTTTGTGCTATATTGCAAGAGAGAGAGGCAGTTGGGCGTTACCCTTCAGGGCGTGGTACCACTGCAAAGCGCTAGTTGGAGCAGAACTGCGTCGTGAATTACAAACGCGCATTGGGAGAGTATATTAATATAGTAGATGGCGGAGCCGAATCATAGGAGAGTTCGGTTATATGGAGAGAATAGCTCGAATGCATTACGACATGCATTGGAGTTGGGTCGTAGAGTAGAGTTGTAGTTTATACGCGAAAGGCAAATAAGCGAGATATGGTTAAGTAGATAGTGGGAGAATAGTTCGCATGCTGTTAGAATAAGTGCCATAGCTTGCTATCATCTGGCTCCAGAGCTAGGTACGTTGTTCAACAAAAGCGTAGGTTTTCCTAACTTTTCTATGTCTGTTTGGCATCACATTCCTAATGATTTTAAAGAGAATGAACCTTCAAAGAGATTACGCACGGAAACGCACAGTAAGAGCTTGCTAAGCCACATATCTGGTTGCTTATCTCGCATCCTTACTCTAATTATAATTGAACGGATTGCTTGCTTAACAGAACACACAAGGGAAGACATTCTCAAGGCGCTCAGAGCATTCAAGGATCCAAAAGACTGTCGCAAAATTCTTACACTGAGGAAGAACGTCTGCAAAATGAATCTTTAGAGATAAACGATGACAACGATTTAGTATATATTTTGCCCACGCAACTTGCGCCTGTCAACCTGACGGCAAGTTGTGTCTGGAAGTGCAAGGGGAGATTATCATGCC